TAAAGGAAGGTAAAAGGAACAAGCTTAACACTAGAACTATTTGCTGGATTATTTGGCGAGTAATCTCATCGTCTAACAAAGCTTCATTCACGGCTAAGTCTCAAGGCAGAATTACTCCCCCAGCAATCCCCACAGCAACGTTGAAGTCTTCAATAGCTAAATCCTTCACTGTTATCTCCCTTCTTTTCACTCTAAGGATGGGTCGGAATGGGGGAGTAGCAGGTTTAGGAGACAGGACAGCATCAAACTCTGCAATTTTGCATCTTTTAAGGGCAGGATATTTAGAAAATTCTAAAATTGAATCATGATGCTTTTCAGGGGAATGAATAGGAATTGGAGGATCGAACTCAATAGGAATAGAAGAATATGTGGTTCGAACCAAATCAAATGGCTCATCATCCTGAAGAACCATATTGTTCAGCTCAGGGGTGCAATTATAGCAGGGACTACGGGTGTAAGCCCCTCTACAAGTACAGGGTTAGAAGGATTATGAGGATCAATTGGCATAGTCAATTCAGCAAGGGCGGATGGTTCAATAGTTGATAAAAAATTGAAAAAATTCTTGACCATCATGTTTCTTCCAGAAGGGGTAGGCAATGACCGCTTATGGGAACGGGGAGTCTGGTCCCGAGCAGATTGGATAGCTTGGCGGTCTTCGGCAAAAATAGAGTTAGGTCTGGGTGGAACAGCAATAAAAGACATATAGGTGGGAGTGTACCCGAGCAGTGTGTGAGCAGCACGGCAAAAAAGTAAATCATTATACTCTCATACTCTCTTCAACGCTTCCATCTTGACATCCTGATTAGGGATCCTTCCCTTCACAGTCTCACCTTCAAAAAATAAAACAATGTTGGTACAAAAAGATAAGTAAAAATCATAATCACCTGGTGCACCTTCCTCATATAGGCATCGATAAGAGGGAGTGGCACCAACTACGTACTCCCAGTTCCCGAAAACAAAAATCACATCATTTTCATGGCCATTGTTCGATTTTAGGAGCTGAGTCACCAGATATTGATCCTTCTTCCTAACAGCCAGGTATTAGTTGTCCCCAGCGGACTTGACAATGTAGTAGTACAGAATCTCCCAAAGGCCCAAGCTTAGGTTTAACAACCTGTTGAGAACAGCAACCCCATAACGATTCCGAAAAAGTTGGGGCAACATTGTATCGGTCAAAGCTTTATTGCAGAAAGTACCCAGAGAAGAAAAAGGTCAAGGGGAAAGCAAACTCCACCTTCTATTATCGCTCGTGTATGAATAGGGATGCTCTCCCTGGTACCTATTACAGGCTCATCACTACTAGCAACTTGAACATTGATAATAGAAGAATCTGTGGTTTGAACCAAATCAAATGGCTCATCATCCTGAAGAACCATATTGTTCGGCTCAGGGAGGTGTAATTATAGCAGGGACTATGGGTATGAGGATCAATTGGCATAGTCAATTCGGCAAGGGCGAATGGTTCAATAGTTGATAAAAAATTGAAAAAATTCTTGACCATCCTGTTTCTTCCAGAAGGGGTAGGCAATGACCGCTTGCGAGAACGGGGAGTCTGTCCCGAGCAGATTGGATAGCTTGGCGGTCTTTGGCAAAAGCAGAGTTAGGTATGGGTGGAACAACAATAAAAGACATATAGGTGGGAGTGTACCCGAGCAGTGTGTGAGCAGCACGGCAAAAAAGTAAATCATTATACTCTTATACTCTCTTCAACTCTTCCATCTTGACATCCTGATTAGGGATCCTTCCCTTCATAGTCTCACCTTCAAAAAATAAAACAATGTAATCAAAAATGCTAGAAAATGGTACAAAAAGATAAGTAAAAATCACAATCACCTGGTGCACCTTCCTCATATAGGCATCGATAAGAGGGAGTGGCACCAACTACGTACTCCCAGTTCCCGAAAACAAAAATCACATCATTTTCATGGCCATTGTTCGATTTTGGGAGCTAAGTCACTAGATATCGATCCTTCTTCCTAACAGCCAGGTATTAGTTGTCCCCAGCGAACTTGACAATGTAGTAGTACAGAATCTCCCAAAGGCCCAAGCTTAGGTTTAACAACCTGTTGAGAGCAGCAACCCCCATAACGATTTCGAAAAAGTTGGGGCAACACTGTATCGGTCAAAGCTTTATTGCAGAAAGTACCCAGAGAAGAAAAAGGTCAAGGGGAAAGCGAACTACACCTTCTATTATCGTTCATGTGTGAATAGGGATGCTCTCCCTAGTACCTATTACAGGCTCATCACTACTAGCAACTTGAACATTGACATCGTCAGAAATGTTATACTTAGCTTTGAAACTAGAATCTCAGAAGGTATTAAAGGAGCTATAGCATAAAAGAAAGTAAAGAAAGCAGAGTATAGTTCGTAGAAAGAAAGAAGGGTTGTGTAAGAAGAAGAAGACAGAAAATCTTGTTTAAAAGGAGGAGAGCGAAGTTCAAGCGACAATGTTTAAATGTAGAACTAGCTGCCCAAACAAAGAGGGATGTCTCAAAAATACGCGCAATGATGGATTTGGAAACATGAAACGATTGATAGACGAAAAACGTATGTCACACATTTCTTGGGGGCAAATGAAGGGGGTTGCTCCCTTTATGATACGTGTAATCACATTAAATGATCTCACATGAGAGTGACAAGACCAGTGAGAAAGACATCACTAGACTCAGTCATTAGACCGCAGCTGAGTTGTTCAGAAAGCTCAGGAAGGAAGGAACGAGTTTTGTCCTCATAATGATCGAACTGTTTTAAATAGTAAACGTTGTGCTAAAGAGATACCTGTAATTTAGGCATTCTGGCCAAACAATGGGCAAGATCTTAGGCTCGGTACAAGGAATTGCTGGAGAGATCTTAGTAACTTCCTAAACAGAGTCGCCTAATTGAAGAAAAGTGTACCACCTTGAATCAAAAATCATGAAAACCCTAACTAAGCAGAACTCTATAAAACGCATAAGAAGCCAAGGTGAAAGATATGTTAAACTCTCCTTATCTTTTTGCAATTCACTCAATTCCATTACTGACTTAAGCATCGGAGTGTCTTTGATCGAAATACTTCGACCTTGGGCAGTTTTTTCGTTTTGTAAGAGGAAAAATACTTGGAGAATAAATTCAAAATCTATCCGCAAAGGAGATATCATCTATTCATTCACATAACAGGTTCTTCGTTTTTTTATCTCTTATAGTGATGTCATCGATCAATAATAAACAAACAAGTATGACAAATAAACTTCACTAATTTTTCATTATAATTATTGAACGCAAAAATTGTTAGAGGTTATAGAATTTGTTGGGATCCCCTAGAACTACATGGTTATATATAATTAATTGGTAACATCTCATGACGTGGTGTCATAGTTAAAAAATAAAAATAAAACTAAAAATAATGAGCTTATATACCAGGCGGCACTCTCATGTGGTAGTTACATCGAATGACAAATTACCGCCAACATTTGTCTGTTGAACCCATACAAGTTAGCAACCTCACAAGTGGCATTTATTATTTAAAAATATATAATATATTATAAATGATGCATAATTGTCAAATCGTCGTGCATTATAAGGTGTATCGTTTTTTTAAAATAGTGTATCGTATCGTATTGTGTATCGTAAGATACGATATAATTTTAAATAATTAATAATAAAATATATATACTTTTGAAAAAAAAAATTCATAGACTCATAAAAATATAATATTCATTAATATTTCACCTACTATTCAAGTCATCAATATAATTTATTAATATTAAAAAAATAATAAAGGGTATCAAATTAAATTAATGGTACTTATATATACTTAAAAGTAAAAAGTTATAATGTGATGGGATATTAAATATAATTTTTTAATGGGATATTAAATATAATATTTTATACTTATAACATAAAAAAAAATTATTTGCATAACCGTCAGTCTCGTGACCCACGATCACACACACAGATACAGAGAGAAGAGAAAAGAGGTGAGAAGCGACCTCAAAGGCGAGAGGCAATGGTGATGGCGATGGGTGATACTAGTACCGGAGAGAGAAAGAAAAAAAAAAAAAAGAAGAACATACTTGGTGGCTGGTACCTCGTGGTCGCAGCTCACAGCAATGAAGAGAGAGATCGTGAGACTAACAGGTTAGTGTTAAAAATCAACCTAGGTTTTCATCCAGTTAGTGTTGTTATTTTTTTCAATTTTAAAAATTTGTTTGATTTACTTTTGCTTAAGTGTTTTTGTTAATTTGTGGGTTTGGCGGATTGGTAATTCTTATCTTTATCTCTTGCCTTTTCTTTGACATTTTCTCTATTCTAAGGCTGTCAACGATCTGAAATTGTCAACGGAAAAAAAACAAGATTTCGCGTATCGTTTGTATCGATATATTTTGTATCGTAAAAACGTATCGTGTATCGAACGATACTATGCAAAAATGATACAAAACTTCGATTTGTATCATTTTACCTATGTATCGTAATGTATCATACGATATGTATCGTATATCGTACGATACTAATAACTATGAGATGATGCATATTACATAACATTTTTAGATAATGCTTGATAAGCTCACAATATTTTAAAAAAAATTTAGAGTTGGGTTATGAGAAATTTCTCTCTTATAAATATCTTAATTGTAATATAAATAACTTACTTTTAATTGAACTAAAAAAAAATTAATCAAAATACCCATAAACTATATCGAATATCCTAACATTTGAAAAAAAAAAAAAAAGGTAGTGCCCGATAAGCTGACAATATTTTCTACCGCCATGTTGTACTGATAAGTGGACAATATTTCTTCCATGGTTAGATTCAATGTTTCCCCCAAAAAAAGTTACTAGATTGAGAAGGGTACAACGGTCAAATCATTGAAATCGTTATTGGTGGGAACGAAAGGTCAAGTAACAACGGTATCTATCCGGCCACCGGCCACCGACCTACCCTCGACCTCCTTTAAACTAATTGAAACAAAATAATAATAAAACGACAACAATAATTGTCACCATTCACTCTCTCTCCTCCCTCCCTATATAATAAATAAAACCAATATTCAATTCCTCCATCTTCGTTCCATTAACCCAAAAAACGACACACACTCTCTCTCTCTTGACCCTCCCATCAAAATCCCCACAAATATCTTTCAGTTTTCCTTTCTAGCCAAACAAACGAAACCCAGTTCCAAAAACGAGAAAAAGCATCCAGACAAATCAACGTGGAGGTTTACCCGCATGACAAGAATCTTAGTTCTGAAGCACAACACAACCTATCTTCTTTTGATCGGTTTTCTTTCTCTCTATCTAATTTCTTGTACTGCTGTGACAATATAGAGAGAGAAGGAATATATATAAGAGATATATATATATTTATAGAGAGAGAGAGAGAGAAGATATGGAGGGAGGTGGAGGAGGGTGTTGTTCTGGCAAGAGAAAGATCGAACGGCCATACAAGGGAATAAGGATGAGAAAATGGGGAAAATGGGTGGCGGAGATCAGAGAACCCAACAAGCGGTCTAGAATTTGGTTGGGGTCGTATTCAACGCCGGTGGCGGCGGCTAGAGCCTATGACACCGCCGTCTACTACCTGAGGGGGCCATCGGCGAGGCTGAACTTTCCGGGGTTGTTGGGTGGCGAAGCTGGAGGCGGCGGAGGACTTGACTTGTCTGCTGCTTCTATACGCAAGAAAGCGATAGAGGTTGGTGCTAGAGTAGACGCAATGGAGACCTCTATGACTTCCCATGATGATCATGATCATGATCTTGACCATGCACCAGGATCCGAATTGATTCAATTGAAACCCTGTTGGTTTCAAGAGAAGCCCGACCTGAACAAGAGGCCCGAACCCGAGGACCCAGATGATGATTACTGGTGAGTCTCTGTATATGCATGTATGCCAGGCTATCTTGTTAAGATGCACTAGCTGGAGTTTTGGAAACTTGGCAAAGGAACTACTGTAAATATCATATGATCTTGGTTTTAGAGTTCAGTTATTTCGAGTAGGGATAAAATTGTTCTATTATCATTTATCATTAAGACTTCAGGTTTGAATATTTGAAACTGTTTTAATACATAGGAGCTAAAACTGTATATTTGATTCTTCGATTGTTAAGAGTTTCAACAAAATCCATCTAATTGAAAGGACCGCCAAATTTTTATATTTTTAAGAGTAATAAAATAAGATTTTGCTGTCTAGAGATAAGATTCTATAGAAGCTATGATAAATAGACACGAATATACAAGAAAAAAGGAAAATAAAAAAAAAATTACTGGAGGAAGATTGTCCAAAGTTGTATACGAGTTGATTCTGTTGAGACCCAAAATGAAGTAAGCCTACCTTTATCATCTTATTTTTTATAGTGTGTGCAATATTGAGATTAGAACTTAAAAAATTTTGACCTAAAATCTTGGTTTGATAATGTAGAAATGGACATGATCCAATAATATTTTTGCAAATATAACCGTTGGACTTATTTAGTTCGATACCATTTATCATCTCATTAGATTAGATATATATGATTATTGAGTGATTTGTTGGATTTTTGTTGATGATGGAGGAGGAAAGAGTGGAGGGTTGATTTGAGAGAAATAGAACCAAAGAGGGGTGTGGTGAGGACGAGGGGACAGCAATGGGCCTACAAATTGCTTGAGTTTGGTGGCTAGTGGCCATTTGTTATGTAGTAAAAGTGATAAGATATAAGTTAGGAATTTTCCTGGTACTCCACTGTTGTTAATGACGAGATTGTGGAACAACAAATGACTAACGAAAATAGAGAGAGAGAGAGAGAATGAGTAGCCAAAACTTGGTCACACTGGCACTAATTATTATTATTATTTTTTTAGTTTAACGATCAGATGTGTATGAGTGTATGAATTAATTTATGCGCACTTCAATTTAATAGTAAAAAATATCTAAATTAACTTATGTATACTTCGGCTGCATGTACAGTTAAAAACAACAAAATTAATGGGACTAGATGTTTTAGGAATAGGTGTTCCTACTCATGTGATTTTCATCCATGCTGTAGAATAGTCAAGTCTGACTAAATAGTGTTGTTAACAATCAATTTCGGGTTAAATTTAATTAATTTTAAGTTGAATGCGATACGATTGAATGCCATACGATTAACCTAAACGTACAATTCGTATCAAAACCTATAATAATTGAAAATTGGTATGATCCGTATAATTTTATAAGAGTATTTTCAATCATGACTCAAATTTTTACTCAAATTTAAATTAACATTTGAGTAAAAAGTTTGATTTAATAAAAATGAGAAATTCAAATTTAAATGAGGGCAAACTCAAATTTAAAAAAAAAGTAAAGATGATCATTAGATCTTTAAAGATAATGAAATCTCATCGATAAATATTTGAGTCTCCTTTGGTTTGAGTAAAAAAAAAATGAGTCTTTTTTGATTTGGTAAAAGTTTGAGTCAAAAGTTGGAGCGAGTTCTTTGATTTTTTTTTTATTCAAATTTAAATTTGAATCAAAATTTGAATCAGTATTAAAGATGCTCGAGCAATTGAGTATTAACAAAATATATTTTAATTTTAACTCAATTTTATCTAATAATCATTACATTTTATCATACATTTATTTACGTATAATAGTTGAATCGAATACTGACTCCACATCTAAATCAATATAAAATATAACCTAACAAATTTGAATTTTGATAATTGTTTAAAATATCAAATCTATATATGATTAATCAAATTTAAATTCAGATCAAAATTCAATCTATTCGAAAGCGTAACTTTAAATAGGGTCAAAACACCACTTGTGACTAGTGAACTTCACCTACAATTATAATAGGCAATCTCTTATTAAGTGAAATTAAATAAAAATAAAAATGGAGATGAGCTCGATCTCACTGTTGAGTGCAGGCATACCCTGTGCTAGATTTAACCTGAATTTACGGACAGCAAAATCTTTCTTGCCTGGATTGGTTAGGGAAAAAAAAATTGTCCTTCCACCAAATATGAACCGTACAAAATTTTTCTGCTCGGAAACTTTTGTCAACCAAATGGTTTACCAACCACTAAAGAAACAGAGATCCTAGTCAAATTACTTTTAGTTCAACAAACTGTCACGTTGTGAACAAGGGACGACATTTAAATCATTTTAACTCTGTCAGTATTGTATTTAACACTGCATCCTAAGCCAAGCCAAGATAAAAGAGGATAGTTACATTAAATAGCCTACAGATAACGTAAAACTTTATCGGATCTGCTATGGCCGAGTCCAAACAATGTAAATTCTTTAACTCCATAACACAAATTTAATCGATGTGTGCAGCTTGGGTATGACAACACACATTCAGGTTTACATTGCAACGATAACTTCAAAAAATTCGTGATTAGAACGATTCTCGCCATTTATCAACCAAAAAAAATGTGGTAACACGCAAAAATTGAAACAACCCCCCATAAAGGCATTCATACCAGTGCACTGTAAGTTCCACAAAAACACCAGCACAAATGCAACAACATACTCCCACAAAGGCCTGTCTATAAATTTAAGAGAGTTCGATTTCAGAAATATGGGAAGTAATAATATAAGTAGGTCTATTTAACTTTCTTTTGCTTCCTTTCCTTTCTAGTAGGAAGGATCACTGGTCCTCCACTTATGAACTTACCAAGAATGAATTATCTGATAACTTACCCACACCAAAATTTTCAACATAAAAGTGAGACACATCAATCGTGAAATCATTTCAATGGAACATTTGGCAGACGCTGCAGGTTCAACTGTTAATCCTCTATCCCAGGGGAATGAGTATGATCCATGCGAAATCCAACTGCCTGAAAGACCTCTGTAGTTGACAGCAATTCTAGACGTCATGCTTTCATTTCGCTGGCATGTTTTATTTGAAGTGCTGCTCTTACAACATTTCCTCTTGTAATAATTCCAACCTTAATATTGATAAATTGGCCGATCAAAGATCAAGCAATGGAATATATTAAGTATTGGAAGATAAGAAGTATGGAAGGCTCTTACCAGCTTACCATCGCCATCTACAACTGGTAGTCGACGATATTTTGTTTCTAGTAATATTCTGAGATTAAGACAGCAAATACTTCAATTGCCACTATGCTAGAAACAGGCAGACATGTGGCAGTGTCTTCTCATAAACCGATAGATAAAGTAAAACAAGAACGACAAGGGAAAGGAGGAGGAAACCTGGCAGCATCCTCGAGATTGGTAGATTCACGAACAACTAGCGGTGCAGGCGTCATCAAATCACCAACCACTTTCCCATTGGTTTTACTTAGCAAATTTTGTACCTCGTTAAATGTCTGCAAACCATTATGAAGAATCTGAGATGCCACAACTTGGGGGGACAATTTTATGAATGCTTTCTCAGTCAAGTACAAATAGGGCAACAAGATAAGACTACACAAGAAAAGGCATTTGGCTTTAACAATCTGGTTGATGCTTGATAATGCTAAAGTAAAGAAAAGAAGAAAGCCAATAAATACAGTGTCGCCACCTTGCTGCTATATATAGAAATAGAACACAGAACAATAGATTAGAGTCTAACATCACATTTGTTTCTATTGCAACTCTGTCAACAGAAAGGCACATTCCTCGTCCATGCAAGAGATTTCTTCTCTCTTCTCCTTCCTTTTTTTTTGTCTTCGGTTGTCTGATAATTTTACACATCCTTATTTTTTTCACTTGGAATTATTTTCCCAATGATTTTATTCGCTTATTTTTGCTGAAAGTTGCTTTTAATGACTAAGATTTAAATCAGGTAAATAAAAGTCAGATACTTAATTTAATGGGCTTAAAGCTGGTACTTCCTCACTGATCACACGTGTGCACTAGACTTCTATTTCTAATTTTATTTGAGATTTGAGACAAAAAACACTTAACAAAATCTGAAAACAGCCAATAACAAACACACACTATGCTGGACTTTAAGTGCCAGTTGAAGTGGCTCTATTTATCTTCCATTCCCCCTCCCCCCACCCACAAGCAAGGGAGAGAGAAGGGAGACACAAGTTGAAGTGGGACCCAAGTGTCATACATATGCTGAAAAATTAAAGGTATATGCTGACACTTGGCACTGTTAAGAAATCCTGAAGTCATTGCAAGACAAAAAAAGAATAACATGATCAGATGTATAGTACTGATTTATGTGCTAATCATATCCAGAAGATCCTTAATGATGGAGTAGAAGAAAGAACCACACTAATTATTTTAGCACCCATCTCATCGACACCTATTTCCTCTGTATCTTATTTAGTTGATAACAAATCGTGGAGATGGAAGTACCATAAAGCAGCAAACAAGATTACTGCACAAGGTAAATACATGTCTAGTTCTTGTCGGATGCAATTATAGAAGGCAAGCCCCTCTGAAGTGCCTTAAATGTCTATCCAATATAGCACATGGAATGAAAATTTGGAATATATAGACATTCCCGGAAAAAAAAAAGAAGAAACAAAAGGAGTGCTGTAGTGCAGACCATTAATATTCATAGAGCAAAGATATGGCAGTTCGGTAATCAGTAATCGGTAATGCCTACTAAAAAACTGTGCGCATGCTTAGTATGCTTCAGTAAATTGTAATGCAACAAATGAATTATTAAATGCAAATATTTCCGAATTTGGTAAAGTAAAGCACGAACTTTTCACCAATCAAAATAAAAAAAAGACAACATTTGTGTACAGATTAATTATACTGGATACCATACTAATACTTTGAAAGAGATGACATTTACATACTTTCCAAGTGCTGTCAACTTCAGGAAACATATTTGTATCACCTCGTCCAGTACCTGATAAGAATATTCAAACATTTCACATCATGTCAAGAATACTGACTATTTTGATTACAATCAGATGCAGAAGCAATAATGTGATTACAGACTCAACCAATTGACTGCAATGTGAACAACTTATTTCCAAAAAAGGGAAAATCATAAGGAATCACTTGAATACAATTGGACTTTGGCCAACTAAGGCCACTGGCCAGGACCAAAACTGTGAGATTCTTGCATGACTTTACGATAAAAAAACACTGCAAGAAGAGTCATATTCCTGTATGTGCATTCTTCCTGAATAAGATCCCAGCAAATCAACATCTTAGTGCAAGTCTGCCAGTAAGGTAGCAAATCTCGGAGAAATCACCAAGTTATGGTAAAATGGTAGAGTCAAGCATCAGATCTGGATAAAATTTATCAAGTATCAACCTTGAATAGCACTTTCTTGGTTCAAAATTATTTCAATCAGATAAAACACAACAACAGCATTAACAAAATGTTAATCCCAATTGTTAGCGGTGAATATTTATGGAATCTACAGTTGAAATCATATAGACCCATAGATATTTACAACACGAGAAGTGCCATACAAACATACATTTTTCATGAACTTCTCTTACAGGGTGCATTTCTTGCCAACAAGGCAATGCAAAATGTACATCTAAAAAGGGAAAATTAGTGAATTAATGTACCTTAATTAAGTCAACCTTCAAGTGAACTCTCAGCCCTTTTCCTTTCTTTCTCTTCTTTGCCCCCCGTGTCCCAGTCTCTTTTTCTCTCACACACACACATTCATGCATGCACATGTATTCATTCCAGTGACAGGGGAGGTAGCAGGCCTTAGCTGGAAAAGCTGGAGGAAAGGCGAGAAAGAAAGATTGGCCTCAATTCTTCTACTTCCCACCTTCAAAAGATCTCATACAGCACAAGCCAGTCCATCTATCTCTATCTCCCTCTCTCTCTACATTCACCACTCTCTGACCCCACCTTGCAGGCTTCCACAACCAAAACCGCCACTTTCCCCAGCTACAGTAAGCAACTCAATATGTCACAACCATACTATATTCGTTACTATTTACATGACAGTGCTGTGAGGGGGCTTGGTGGTTGTGGATGGTGGTAGACGGTGATGGTAAGTTTTACGTGTGGCACCTTCCTTACAACATTAAGACATAGACACATAATTCTAAATATGTGTACAATAGACACATTCTTTAGAATCAGAACAATTTTTCAGGCATTGAGCATAACGAATTTTACTTGCTATCGTGAAATTATAAATTCTGAATCCTCATCAGATGAAAAAGTACAAAAAAATGTGGAAAGATGGAAACATCAACACCAAAACAGATGTGGAAAGATGAAGTTTGTACTCATTATAATTGCCACAATAGAGAAAGGATATTCACCACGCAGTTCGAGAGAAAGTTTGTACGACTGGTGAAAGAACAACCCTAAGCAGCTTCCCTGCTTCTAATAGTTGTGTAACGAGAAAGTACATAGGATGATATATCTGACTTCCAAGAAACATTAGTATATGAACGAAGCAAGACATGGAATGTGATACTGGTTTTCCTCACCCGCAGTGCCCCAGAAAGAGCATTAACAGATTAACAGTCCTCAAACAAAGATCCTTAGATCTCTCCAATTATACTCCCCTCCACTATATTATCCTTGTTAAATTAAGCCTACTTTACCAAATTAAAAATAAGTCATATTTTTCAGCGAATCTACTAATCCAACCTTTGACAATTCCAAATGGCCAGCCAATAATTTGGATGAAATGAAGTTCCACCATGACCCTAGGAATGGGCAATTTACAAATGCAATTCATTTCTGATAAAAGGCAAAAGAGTTACATTCGCAACACAGCAGGCAAATGGCAATGATAAGGCAATTCTACAAGCTAGGTGACTCTCAGAAACAACCAAAAAGTAATGTAGAAGTTCTCAAAATACGAATGAAACAAGAAGATCAAATTGTACCTTTTATCTTATTATTTTTCTCAAATTACCTGAGATAGTGTCCAGTGCTAATAAGTCATAATCTGAAACGAGACCAACCTACAGCATCATCAAAGAACCATTTAGCACAGCAACTTTCCATAGGGATAAGTTAACATAAATATATAAAATTGAGAAGAAAAGTACAAATAATTGATTAGTGAACAAAAAGAAGTCAGAACGCATAATCTAATGAGTAATGACAATGAAGGAAAAAAGTGGGTCTCTCAACATGGAGGAAAGTGTTATTCCACTGTCATGGAACTCTTGACTGGGAAATAACTCTGTAAACCTGACACAGCAGGTTATGTCATAATATGCCTAACAGCTTGTTTGTAGAGGAAAAAAAAAAGGCTTGAGGTAGAGTAGACGAGTTGGCAAATGAGCTTTCATACCAATGTGAGCTTAATGTCAATAAACATGCATAAATTGATTCCAGTCTCAAGTTAAGAAGAGTTTAATCAGAACTAGTTATCCTTCAATCAATATGCTTTCAACAAAAAAGGTAAGATGACAAGTTGGATTTAGCAAAAAATAAAAACCTTACCAATTTCCAGTCATCATCAATCACAGGGAAACCAGTTATTCTGTGCTCTACAAGAGTTTCTAATGCTGTTGGACAGAGGAAAACACTTACACAAGAAATAAATGAAGACTAATCACAGAGACAGAACTTAGGCACGAGGAATACCTTCATCGACAGTTGTTGTAGGCTTTACCACCTGCAAATCCTCCCTTCTAGTCATAAAATCTCCTACGATATATACTCCATTTTTTGGCTGCAAAATACGAAATAGATGTGCTAAGGTTCAAATCCCAACAGGGATGGGGTGGGTAAGGGATTATATGGCTAACAATGTAAAAAAATAATAGATAAGGAATCAATTGCATGCAATACACAATCAATATTCAAACAGAGTTTATATGTCATACAAGCAAGCACAAATCGATATGAAAATGGTTCACGCAATGAACTGGGAAGATGAGGTTACCACTATTGCTTTCTTGAACATGTAATATTAAGACCTACACATTGACTTACAAATAAGGTATTATATCTAGAAACCTAACTATGATCTTTTATTTTGTTTTCTTCTCTAATTTTACTTTTGACATGGAAGTACAGAACAACAACATTTGTGGTCTTGATTACTTATAAGTGGCATTCTTAACTGGCAGGACTAACAATGTATAAATCAAATGAATCTACTGTACCTATCATCGCATATAACCTTCCTACACCTCTATGTATCCATACAGCCAAATCGGCAAGCAAAGAAGTCACAATTTTGTTCATCCAATATAACATTCTTAGTTCAAGGTCGCAGTATCGGATATCGCCCCGGAGGAGACTGATATGTCTAGGTTGCAGTGTCCCAGAACGGTCTCAGATGATACGCATGAAATGTTATATAGAAGACACAGTTGAACATGGTGAGAGATTCAAGTCATAAATAAGATCTTGGATGACACGGGTTGACTCGGAGAGACCTCGGATGACTTAACTATTCGGCCGAGCCACATCAGACTCGTGATCTACATGGAACGTGGAATGATATCGGATCAAAAGATTCTGAGCTAGATAGACTTGGCCAGTATCGGCCAACACTTTAAACTATGCTCATCAGAGACAAACTGAAAACAAAAAGAAGAGAGCGGTGGGTGGACCAGGCCCTTGAAGAAGAATCCTTGAGCCAATATACGTCCAAGTCCAATCTGATCCTTGGATAAATTCACAAGACGATTAAGTTGCAGGCTAGATCTACTATATCCCATATACTGTCACCAGATAACAGAACTAACAAATTAAATAAACAGATTCTCAAGCTCCCCCCATTTGACATGCCTCAATTAATACAAGCTACACAGGTGATTGGTGGGTTTAAGTCTTACAAGACGTTTTATGTGGCTTTGATTTAGAACAAGGGGCATCAGCTAAAACCAGTTCCAATTTTGGCAGCATAACTATATTGACGTCCGTCATTCCTAGAACAACCCTTGACCATGCCGTGCTTGGCGTCTTTATCTTTTGCACAGTTAATCCCAAGCACGGACGGAGATGAAGGATAGAGCAATAATGGAGAATCACAATTTATGAACGTAACCCAAATGGTTATCAAAGATTTTATTGACTTGGGGTAATTTCTCAATGATAAACGGAATTGATACTATTGAAAATTGCAGCCCACTGATAAAGTCCACAATTAAACTAGACAAACACAAGATATTCCCCGCCAATTCCATTGTCGCATGCAAAACAATTTACCAAAAGTTAATCAATTTACAGAAGAAAAATTATGTAAGCTGGATAGAAATTGCAGGAAACTAAATTTACTGGATTGGATTAGTGTGTCATACCGGTACAGTACTGGCCGTCAACGTGCCGTTGGCGGCGACAGAGACTGATTTGCGAGGCCCAACCAGACGATCAGCAGAATGAAAGCATCGAGAGGCAGTAGGAGAAGTACGGCGGGCTTGAGATAAGAACAGGCATGGCAGCTGGTGGTGGAAAGTGGGGGAGACGGTGATGGTACGGTGGAGAGAGAGGGACAGAAGAACCTCTGGCGGAGTAATTGAGGTCATGTTAGGGGGTTTTGTCTCTTCTTCGAGGATTTTGAATTGGAGGAAATGGAAACGACGAAGGAGTGGGGGGTATTGTTGATACGGTGGCTTCCACTTCCACGGAGGTCGCAGAAGCCAATTCGAGAGGATCACTTTAGTACGGGTTTTGGGGATGTTGTAGTATTTGACAATTTACATTTTGCAACCCTTGATATCTAAGGAATTTCACTTGTCACACTCATTATTTTTAAGTTTTACCTGGAGATTAACGGTTCGCCTAACGACCACTATCCGCTGTTGGATCGTAAAATCACTCGAACCTCGTCGGTATCCTGTTCCTGTAATAGTGCCTCTCAAAAAAAAAAAAAATATCAATTGAGCTTGAGTTCCAAATTCCATATTATTTTTATTTTACAGATTGTTTTTCTTGTGGATTTATCATAAGGGTATATTTTAACACACTAAAAATCTATCCGACTTAAATTTTTTTTTAAAAAAAAATTAACCTTGTTTGAACTGATTTTGAGACAAATAAAATTGTAAGTGTAAAAAAGAATAGATATAAAATTAGAATCTAAGAGAGACTAAGAGAAGAAGAACGACATTTCTGGGTTAAAGTGTTGGACAAATACAGCCTAGGAGCAAGTCACATGAGGTCACTATACTAAATCGAATTAATAAAATTTGGTGGAAAGATTGAATAAAAAACTTGATTGATTAAACTTTTACACTTGAAATATCATGGACCACATAAAAATTTATAAATGCTAAGGGTATAAACTATAAACTGCCCTAAAATATTTTTTTAGATAGTGTTAATCTCATTTTATACCCTCAAGTAGTAAGGTGGATCGCCCAGACTTTTGTTCAGCTTTTCCTATTAAATTGAAGCACATGAGTTATAAATACTTGAGACATGAGATTATGTATAAATTCATATACTTTTGGTGCCTTATGTAAGTTATACGTGATAGAGGTAGCCACATCTGATTAATGAAACTCTATTTTCAATACACAAAAGAGTGGTAAATTGATCGTAAACAAAGATATGTAGCAATTGACATAAAAAATTGAACGACAATCTGGGTCAAGTTTTATTAGAGACCTTTGGTCACCTTCACCAACTTCAATTCTGTTAAACTCACTCGGGACAACTATCCTCTATGGTTCTCTCAAATCGTTCCTCATCTCACAGGCAAAAACCTCTTCGTGTACATCGATGGCACTAACCTCCCCCCCATCATCTACTGTCTCTTCCACCATTGATGGTGTTACTATTACTTCTCCAAATCCTACCTTGTTGGACTATGCAAGATCAAATCATTCTTGGTGCAATCAATTTGACTCTCACCGAGAAGATGCTTACCCATGTTCTACGGTGCATTACCTCCAGATCTACCTGGACAACATTGGAGATACTATTCATGTCTCAATCCCGGGCACGCACCATGCAAGTCCACTATCAATTAGCCACATACCTTAAAAAAAGGAAGCTCCTCCATCGCCAACTACTTTCAGCCTTAGCTGCTGTGGGTCAGCCCCTCAATAATTTTGAAATGGTGTCTTTCTTACTTGCTGGACTAGGCCCCGACTATGATTCTTTTGTGATGTCGGTCATGTAAGGCAGCCAACAGATTTATATTCTCTTATAAGTTTACATTACTATTAATTTATATCATTAAAAATATATAATTAAAAATTTTAATGTATAAAAGAATAAATTGAGAATTGAAGTATTTTTCGAAATGCAAGGTGAGACTAAGCCATTTAGACATGCGCAAGAGAGCCAACAACTACAAGTCTACAAGTGTCTTCTCGTGTAAGTCGATCCATTAAATTAATAACTATCTGATCTGTCTGTTCATGATTAGTGTAGTGGTTACTCATTTTCTATGGAAATTTAAATTTACGATGAAAAGAAAAGAATAGGGTAAATTATATTGACACTTCTTGTAGATTCAACTAATTATAAAGACGTCTCCTTAATTTTTTGAAATTACATGATACAAAAATAAATGGATTAGTTTAATTTTGTTCAGGGATAATATGAGTATTAAAGTGTAAAAAATTGATAATGTAACCACTTTTTTGATTTTGCCAATAACGACACTAATCATAGTGGTACGTTGTGAAATGCATATGTAAATAGTAAGGAGCGTCAGTGTAATTTTATAAAACTAAGGGAGTGTCTCTGTAATTAAACTAATCTATGATAGGGGTACAATTTGGCAGACTAAACCAATTTCAAACCGAGCTTAACCCGAAAAAATTAGGGCTTGGGTTAGAATTTTTAATACTTGGGTTGGGCTTGAGTTAAAAAATCTCAACCCGAATTCAATTTGGGCAGGCCTCGAATTGACCCCTCTGGTTCCCGGGTTTAACCCGAATATTCATAACCATATAAATACATTTTTAATTATAGGATTAATTTGTTCTGAAGTATTCATTGTGCACCTCTCTCACTCACTAATCCGAATTCAACCCGAGCCCACCCAAATTAAACTCGGGTAGTGCTCGAGTTGAGTCCCTTAACCCGAGGTAGGGTTAGGGTTAGGGTTAAAGTTGAAGATTATATACCTAGGATTGAGCTAAGATTGACTGTCCAACCTGTTCGAGTTGCACTCCTAATCTACGAGAGCGTCAATGTAATTTATCCAAAAGAATAATGCATAGTTTGTGAACGAGACAATCAGAATTACGATCTCTTTGTTTTCAACTAAATCCATTATTTATAACCCATAAACTGAAACTTTAAAATCAGTTTAGTCATGTTTGACACAAACACAAGCTATATATTATTTATAATAGTATGTCACGTTATCAAAGGTTCAGATGAAAAATTAGCTAATTTTCATTCATTAATTTTGATCTAAACATATGGTGAATGTAAATATCAAGAGCTTAAATTGACAAAATTAATTCAAAATTTATATTGCATGACATTTGTTAATGTTTTGAGTTTTCAGATCTCTGATTTTTGTGTCTTTTGAAAAGTAGAAAAGAATAATGATCACATAAGAACAAAAAAGAAAGTTGATAGTGTAACATAAAAGGTATGAAGATAAAGAGGTTGTAGAGGAATCTGAAAGTCGGTGGATATATTGTTAGAATTTTTTTTTATATTGGACTTCTATTAATTGATAGTTAATTTTTTATTTGTGAAAAATACACTGGATTTATGGTCCAATGAAATAAGCTCAATATTATTAAATAATCGATTTTGATGGGTTTATTTATATTTTTTAATTGATGTGGTTGAGGCGGTTAATTGTAGGACTTAATCTAATTGTAGCCTATAATTAGAGAACCCATTAGATTTCATTATAAATAACAGTTTAGGTCTGTCTCTCCACTTCATAACCCTAATTTGGCTTGTCCTATTGAGAGACGCCTATTATTTTGAAGAATGGGAGAAAGACTTTAGTTGTGTTTGTTAAAACTGAAAGGTGAAGTCTGAAAATTGAAAGCTGAAAGTTGAAAGTTGAATGTTGAATTTGTGGACTGTTTGGTATCTACTGAAATTTAATAAAAAATGTCAATATATCAAACCAATTTAGTTCATAACATAAATCATAATCACTAATAAATAATCAAATAACAATAAGTGAACAATAATACATTGAATAACACAATAAGTGAACAATAACATCTGATCCAAAAAAAAAAAAGAACAACGACAAATAAATAATCAAATCACCATGAATGAATAATAACAAATTAAATTCTAAAATAAGTGAATAATAACATCTGATCAAAAAAAGAACAACAACTAATAAATAATCGGATAACAATAAGTGAACAATAATAAATTGAATAACACAATAATTAAATAATAACATCTGGTTAAAAATAAATAAATAAATGAAAAAATAATCAAATTAAAAAAAATAGAATAAATTAAATCTCATTAATAATGTGTGTGTGTGTGTACAATTGTTGCTTGTGTGTGGGTGGTTTGGGTGGGTGGGTGTGTGTACAGTGCTTGTCTGTGTGTGCGTATGTGGCTTTATGTAACTCTGTGTGTGCGTGCGCGCGCGCAATGATTGTGTGTGTGTGTCTAGTGAATGTTTATTTGAAGTAGACGAACGAAGGGAAAAAAAAGAAGAAGAAGAAAATGATTTGTCGTCATTGAAGAAGAAGATTGACAAGGAAGATAAATAGGTTAAGAGTTTTTGAGAGAATACTAATTACAGTTTTAATAGTATTGCAAAATATTTTAGGGTATAATTGTCATATTATAATATTATTAAAGATAATTTTACTGAGCGCTTTTAGCTTTCAAAATTAAATAAGGGATCTCTCACTTAATATTGTAGCGTATTTTAAAGGAGCACTTAACATCTTAAGAGAGTTAAAGTTTTAATTATCAAACGAGCTTAATTAATAAGTGTCAAATACATTTATTTTAAGTACCGAATTTGCGTTAACAAATACATCCTTTGCCTTTCTATGAATGAAATCTGGAGATCGAGTATTATGGCTCATATAGGTATGTTCTAAACTTTGTAATTTAGGTGTTCTAAATTTCATATATGAATTATTAAAATTTCTTACATGTGATATTAGAGCTTATCATATATGAATTTAGAACCCGACAAACTTTATGTATAATTTTACTGTTAATTTTTATCAACTTTGCGTTTGATTTTAAGTCATGATCAATGATGACCATGGTTGAAACGAGAGATCTTGTTATTAGTGTCTGTCGGCTATTTTTTTTTTTTTTTTTTGTGTTGAAAAGTTGACAGCTGCTAGGGTTATAATCACATGAAAACCTTGTTATCAAAGCTTTATTATATATATGTATATACACACATGAAGTGTTCAAGATTTCACTCAAAAATTGTTTGGCTTTTGTTGAAAAGTTGACGATGACTAGGGTTTCTTTTCGTCACCTTTTTTAACAAAGTTTTTTAAGATTCCAATCAAACAAATCTTTTGTTTAGCTTTTGTGTTCTTAATAGATTATTTACTGTCATGTTTTAAGTTGTATCAAATATGGCCTTGGTACAATAACAAATCCATGTCTGGTGATTGCGATTAAAAAAAAATTATTCTTTTTGTACCTATGCATACAAGTAACAAGGGCCTATTTGACAGCTGTAAAATTTATGTTGAAACTTTTATTGATTATGTCATTTTTGTTCAACTTATTAAATTTATTTTTAATTATTTATGAGTCTTGTTGACAAATAGACATAGTCTTTACCCATACAAATTACAGATATGAATCAATTTTTTTATGAATGATGCAATTTTGATTAAATTGCTCTAATTTGTAGAGGATGTTGGTACAATTCTAATTTTAGGCC